TGATATAGACAGGGATAAAATGTCTGGCATAGATAGATAGATAGATAGTAAGAAAGATAGACTGATAATAAACAGATAGATAGATAGATAGATAGATAGATAGATAATGAACAGACCAAGATAGATAGATAGATAGAGAGATAGATATGAAAAGACTGTCATAGATAGATAGATATGAAAATACTGATAGAGACAGGGATAAAATGTCTGGCATAGATAAATAGATAGATAGTAAGAAAGATAGACTGATAATAGATAGATAGATAGATAGATATGAAGAAATTGTGAAGGATAGATATGAAAATACTGATATAGAGATGAAATGACTGGCATAGATGTATAGAAAGAAAGAAAGAAAGAAAGAAAAGGAAAGAAAAACGTAGAGTGATAATAAACAGATTGAGATAGATAGATAGATAGATAGATAGATAGATAGATAGATAGATAGATATGAAAAGACTGTGATGGATAGATATATATGAAATGTTTGCCATAGATAGATAGATACATAGATATGAAAAGACTGACAGATAGTTTTAATCATTTCCTCTAAGCAAGATGACAAAGCCACTAAGACGGAAGTGTCTGGTTAGCAAAGTCACTTAAATATTTGCATCTATAAAAATAACGTATAAACAGAAAATATATTAAAATATTTGTCGGGCTTAGTCCATTTCCTCATATATGATGTCCTTTGTTTACGTTATCATACGCCTCGAGCAGATATGATCTTTCGAGAAAAAAAACATGGGAAATTTGTTGTTTAAAAACAGTAATTTCACACTGCCGACAAGACGCTTCCTCTTTATAGAACGTCAGGCTATATAACGGTTTCGTTATTATACAGGTTCAATTCCTGTCAGAGGGCGCATATTTTCTATGAATGTTCTCGGACATTCATACCGGTAAATGTAACCAATACAGTTTATGGTGAACAGAATATTTACTTAAATATTTGTATATATAAAAATAACGTGAAACAGAAAATATATTGAAATCTCTCTGTCTCTGTCTCTCTCTCTCTCTCTATATATATATATATATATATACAGGGTGCGATGGGTAAATTGTCGCCATTGTCTATTTTTTAAAATTTTTGCACATGTGCGCAATTTCTTATTTTATTTTGTCGACTGCACAGTATAGTAGGGTCAGTTGGGCACCGTCCGGGAGAAAAAGAGCACCAAGATGCAATTCGCTCTGCCAGAAATTTGGAAACAATATGCCGTACTGCTTGGCATTCGCGCCGGAAGCTCCAGTACGAACATTTCAGACTGTTTTGAGTGTCAATCTGAGGACGGTGCATGGGGATTCGGAAAGTGTTAGATGATATATTCATTCAACATGGTGTTTGGAGTGATGGCGACATTATGACTCCATTCATCTTTCCACAGGACCTCAAACTCAACTCGGTGACCTGCATCAAGAGGATAGCTGATGGAAGATCCTATGTCTGGCAATAGGACTCTGTACTATGCTACACAAGCAGGTAAAACCCGGTCATGACTGCCAGAAAATTTCTGTGACCGCATCACCTCTTATATCTAGTCAACTATCTACCTAGAATGCAATTCTGTTGCTAATTATGTGTAGGATGCAATTGAGCAAGAAGCAGCACCCTCCAAAAAAAAAAATAAAATCTTTTTAACACCAAAGATAAACGGAAGCGTTCTTAAATTTAAAAATTTGAATAACTATCAAATATATACTTGTAGTAAAATAAAATAACCACATTTGCCTTGAGAAAGTTCGTCAGCTAAAAACTAAGTCTAGTTTTCCTCTTGTCTTTTTGTTCATGTTGTCTCTTCTACAGATATACTCCAGTTGAGAATATTTACACACACATATATATATATATATATATATATATATATGTATATTTTACAGTATATATTAATTCAAACATGTTTCATTTAATAATATACATATATTATGTCTTTGTTTTTATAGTAAACTTTCTAAATTTCTAATTTTGATATCAAGGAAATGATTAGAAAACTAGAAAGAAATATAAAAATAGATATTATATGTATATATTATTCAATGAAACATTTGAGTATATATATATATATATATATATATATATATATATATATATATATATATATATATATATATTATACAGATAACGAAAGAAAAGATACACACACACATATATATGTTTACACACACGCACCCACACACATATATATAGACAGATAGAGAGAGAAAAGATACACACGCATATAGAGGTTTACAGACACACACACACACACACACACACACACACACATATATATATATATATATATATATCTTTGAACAAGAGTAACACTCGGTTTTGTTTAATTTTTATTATAATTTTCTTGTATTCGTAAAAATGTTTCCTTTTCTGAACTTAATGAGTGTAAAATCGTTTTTTTTTTTTTTCAACGAAATATGTATTAAAGATGGACTGCTGTCCACACCATCTATCTACATCACTATATATATATATATATATATATATATATATATATATATATACATACATACAGGCTGTCCATAAAGTTCATGTGCACTTTAAAAAATTTATAACTTTATTTATATTTGCGATAGAAATAATCTGTAAAAAATGTTATAAAATTTAACGTATCTAGTTTTAAGTATAGCTAAAATAACTAATGTGATTTCAGGCATTACTGTAAATCAGTTGGCAAATGTTTTCCGTGAACTGCAAAATCGAATTACCCTTTGTATTGCTAATGATGGAGGACATATGGAAACTTAAATAAAATTTCAATAAAATCTTAGAAAATATAGATTTACTTCTTTCTAATCCTTTTCACAAATTTTTTCTATCGCAGATACAAATAAAATTATAAATTTTTAAAGTACACACGAACTTTATGGACACCTGGTATATTTATATATATATATATATATATATATATATATATATATATATATATATATATATATATATATATATATATATATATATATATATATATATATATATTTCTCAACATAGTTGAGATGTATCTATCTAGCAATCTCTCTATGTATAAGTGTTTTGCATGCGCAGATTGTCCCAAATCTTTACACTCACTATAACAGCTGATAACTCAATTTTCATTTCTTTTCACGTTCACTCAAATAGAAATTATGATTACAGCCAGGTTAATGTTTGAACAAAAGGAAATTATGCTAAAGTGCTAATGGAAGGTTAACAGAGTGCAAATAGAGTTCAATCGGGCTGTTCGTACAGATGATTCGACGCCATTTTACAATCACTCAAATTGGGGACAAGTTGAAAGCGGACTGAACTGTTCAAAATGTCCGCTAGAAATATTCCGGATATCGACGAGTCCACCACCTAAAAATAAGCAAGAAATAATACGGGAAACATATCGCCAAAATTAAAAGACATCTGATCGGCAATATGTCATCGTTGAAAATAAGATTTAATTCCGAGAACTTAACATGCCGCCAATGATGATGGTCCATGCAGAAGAGCAGTGTTTTGTGGGTGGTACTTGGAAAGACGTTTAGAAAATGCATCTTTTCCGATAAATATTGTTTGGGGTGATGAGGCTGCAATTAAATTAAAAGGCTAAGTTAACCGCCACAGTTTCAAAAAGGTGTCCTCAGAATCATATCATGGCGGATCAGTTTAATTTACCTGGATTAACAATGGCGGCTTATCATCAAAGAAATGATTCTGACAGTTCTCTTTTGATGTTGATATGAATGGTGCTCATTACTTGAACACGTGGCTATAGCCTGTCATACCACGCATTCAATAGAACTTTGAGAATGACGATTATTATTTCCCGTAAGATAGAGTACCCCTGCAATAGCGTTGCGAGGCAGAGGGCTACTCGATACGATTTTGCCATGGATAGAATGAAGTGTTTCAGTAGATTAATCTGCAATGTTATTGATCATCACCAGGTATATCGTTTTCATTCACTTTCCACCGATAGACTGTAGATTCCCTATACCTTTTCTATACATATTTCATGGTAATTGTTCTGGTGAACTTTGCTCTGATTACCGAGGATTTATTAATTTAAGTGCAGCACGCCAAGACTTCATCCTTTTACAGTTGAAATGGCAAGATGTAATTGTAAGTTCTATGCTAGCAGTTTCCTCTATTATACTCCTATCTTGTAGAACTCTCTTGCGGATTCTTGCTGCCTAATCAACTTTGATCTTCAAAAATATAAATCTAATGTCAAGCGATATCTTTTGTCTTCTTAATTCCTGTTGATTTTTTTTTCCCCTCATTCCTTAAAAATATTTTCCCATATTCCCTAACATCCAGTAATCCCTTACGTCTTATTAGCTTCATTGCCTTGCTGGGGGTAAAAACAATGCACCCGACATTCACAAAGACCTCATATAGGGATGCTGAAAAACTAAAGGTTTGCGTTAAAAAATAGCAAAATTTGACAAAAAATAAAGGCAGTCATTGAACAAGGATACGTATAAATACCGAGCGAAGTGGTTTTTTTTAAATAATGTTATATACAAGGCTCAAGAGCCACTCGAGGTAGAGGGTTAGATAGTGAGAAGCACAGGTTATGGGGATGTGTTGGAAAGATAACGGTTGACGCTAGACATGAAACGGTAAGATTAAAGTGATCATGGAAGCATCCTCTTGCATTCTACAAAGCAGCAGTTTGTGGGAAGAAGTTTCTTGGATGGAATTTCGAGCTCACTAACGGAATATGAACGGGATAGAGGTAGTTGCTTCTACCATTGCCTAGTTTGGCGTTTGTTAGCCATGAGCTGAAAACTAATGGAACCAACGAATGTAATTCGTCTGAAAGATTTTCATGGAAATAACGATCGGACAGCGAGAGACTTGTGGAGTTTCATCTGTGACAAAGAAGGACGTTCATCACCCGCAAGGAGGCGGAGACATTTTTGAAATGATAAGCTCCTACCAGTTTTCTTGATGTTTGTGATTCCATTTTTTCATCAACCGACCATCTTGTTTTTGGAAAGTACGTCCATAAATATCATTATCAATTGTCTGGCCTTCTTTATAAGCTTCAGTGATACGGCATTGCAGGACGATTATTTAAAGAATAGTCTTGGTCTTCCGCTGCCAACCGACTTCAAGTGGAACAATTACTTTGAATCAATTTACTATTTAAATAATATTCCTGTCAAACCGTGAAATGAAGGTCGTCCTAAACGGATTCTCCTCCAATTTCTTTCGTACAAAGGCTGATATTACCCAAATCTCTATCCTGGGTCCTACAGTCTTTCTCATCTTCATCAACGATCTTCATGATGTCATCAGTTCCCGTGTAGGCGTCTATGCAGACAACACAACAATTTACTCCTGTAGTAAAAACTAACTGTCAAAACTAACCTGGTCGTTGGCCTCGAACATGACCCCAATCTGTGATTGACTGTGATTGGCACGAAATGGCTTGTATACATTAATGCATCTAAAACGAAACTACTCTCATATACCCACCACAGAGAACCCTCCTTGTCTCCCATCAGAATGGCTGATGCCCAACTTCACGATA